CTTTTACTATGTTGAATTATAAATCAAGTAAGATTCTCTAATTTTAATTATGAAATCTCCTATTTCAAATAGTTAATTAACATTGTCTCGGGTAAGCATTAATCTAACTTTATAAACTCTAAATTAAAGCTCTTATTCTAAATTTTTATCTTACGCATTTTTTTTTTGTTTATATTACTCACACAAATAAGTAAAATGTAAAGCACGGACGTAAGGATGTGCTAGTCTACTAGTTTATTAGAAAACTCTTTTGTACTCTAATTAAAATATTTATTAGATGAGTTTGCTATAAATATATATGTAATCATATATATCGAGCAAGAATAGAACTAAGCTTATATTGAGATTTCTTATTTTCACCTTACTTGTAAAAGTTATTTTAAGTTTACTTAAATCTATTCAATAAGTAGTGGATTCTTCTATGCCATTGATAAAACAAAGTCAATATATAAAGTTGTTATTTTAAGCCTTCGATTCTTTCAAGTATAATTTGGAATAGAACATAATTGTATATAAATCGAATCAGTATCTTAACAACCTTAATTTAAAATCAATCTATCAATCTAAAATCTATCTTACCTACTACATATACAAAATCTCTATTTGCTATACTATGGCTGTTGCTTCTGCTTCACTTCTCTTTACTAAAACATAAGGTAGACGCTTCATATTAGTTAAACCCCTAACCCTAAGTGTGAAGTAAATCGAATTAGTATCTTAATAAACTCTAATTTCGAATCAATATAAAATCTACCTTCCTACATATATAAAATCTTTATTCCCTATGCTATAGCTGTTATCTTTACTTTGCTTCCCTTTTACTAAAATATAAAGTAAATGCTTTATATTAGTTAAACACTCTAACCCTAAATATAAGGTAAATTGATCAATATCTTAAACAAACTCTAATTCTGAATCAATGTAAAATCTACTTTCCTACATATATAAAATCTCTATTTGCTACGCTATGGCTATCGGCTTCACTTCGCTTCCTTTTTACTAAAACATATAGTGAATACTTCATATTAGTTAAATACCCTAACCCTAAATATGAGATAAATTGAATTAGTATCTTAACAAACCCTAATTCTAAATTAATATAAAATCTACCTTACCTACATAAAATCTCCATTCACTATGCTATGGTTGTTGCTTTTGCTTTGCTTCTCTTTTACTAAAATATGAGATGGATATTTTATATCCTAACCCTAAGCGTGAGGCACTGATATGATCTTTCTAAACCATTTTTTGAAAGGGCATAATCATTAACAAAGTTAGCTAGTATTATAATTAATGCTAGCTAACTTTATTGGTGATTATGCTTTTTCAAAAAATGTTTTAGAAACTTGAGCTACAATAAACATATTATTATACAATAATCATTATAACAATTTTGATGCAATCATTTGAACTGCTAACTGAAACATTAATTGGCAACTTTGCTATTATATGAAATCAATAAAACTAATGCTCTAACCAATCTACATCTAATTCTTGTTTTTAGGATTTAATTTGCATATTTTAGCGTAATGTTCAGTACTATTACAATAAAAATATTTTCGTGAAGATTTATTTGTAATATCTGATTCATGAAATATTTTTTTGTTAGTTTTTTGAGAATTTGATTAGTTAATATCATTTAAAGAATCTTGTAATTGTTTTTTCAGTCAGCCACAATGTGAAATAATGTGAAGATTTGTTATTAGCCCAATATTGTCTAATTCTAATAAATTATCAAACTGAATCGATTTTGATTCAATAAAACTATACAATATACCAATAAAATTCATCTATTGTACCAGTATCGAGAGCAGTTTGAACTTCTTTTTTAGCAATTCTAATACCTCAGCAGTATTCAGCTTTTTTAGAAGTATATTGTTGAATTTCAAAATTAAAACAGTCTGCTCCTCGAAGTTCTTTAATGATATCAAAGTTACTATTCGACTTATCATTTTGTATCTCTTACGCACTTGTTATATTATGTGTAAATTGAATAGCAATTGATTGTTCAGATGTATGTATAGAATTCATAAACTATCATTGAGATATCATATGCATTTGGAATTTAATAAGTAGAAAGACAACCAGAACAGAAAAAAAATACTGGCAAAAAAAGCTTTTAGCAATAAGTAATATACAAGAACATAAATAAGTGCCATTATCTAAAACTATAATACATTGTCTATTGTAAAATAATGAAGTGCTAAATAATCCAATATGCCAAATCTTATGAACGGTTTGATTGCTAACTAATTTTAATATTGCTAAAAGCAAAATATGACTTTCTTGATAATCATTTTTGATAAATCCAGATGTATATTCTGAATAACCATTCTATGTATAAAAAAAATAATAATAATTAGCAAGTTTAACTAGACTACAAAAAAAAATCAGTTTCAAACTTTAATACTTACTTGGCTAAGAGTTAAAAGGTTAATTTGATATAGGCGATAAAGACAAGATTGATTTATTTGAAGTCTTTGACAGGCAAGTGCTTCAAGAGTTAAATGCTTGTTCAAAGCTTCATCAATTTTAAAAAAAAATGTATTGTGGATCATGGATAAACCAACAGATGGAAGCTGATTTTGATATTTAGATTCACATTGATGTTTAGCTTCATTTTCAATCTGCTTTTCAACATTTTCTACCAATTTTATAAGTGTTGTTCGTGCACTAATTTCAGCTTTTAATACACCATTAATGCTCTCAACACGTTGTGTACTGTTCATGCTAGTACAAAAGATTAAATATGTATAAACTAAAGCCCATGCATATCGTAATCTATATAAACGACGTAAGTACTTTTCATGTTCAAAAAAATTATCCATTAACTGTTGCCATCTACTTTCGAAGAGTTCTTCATATTTACTATTATGCGCACAATAAAATTGATTAAAAAATTTTTTATATCGATCTTGACCAAGTTTTTGTACAAGATGTTTGGTAAGATTCTGACTTATATAGAATAAACAATGCTGATATTTAGTATCAGGAAATATATTATGAATGGTAGCTGCTATTCTGAGATCACTATCAGTAAAAATAGTCTGTAAGGTAATATTATTATTCAAATATTTCAAGGATTGTAAAATCCATTCAAAGGTTGTTTGCATTTCATCTTGAACAAGTACTTGTGCAAGTATTCTTGTTCTGTTATGCGAATCTACTTCTACAAAAATATTTAGCAACATTTGATAAATATTGGTTTTACAAATATTATTATTTATGATTATATCATGAAACTGCTCATAAAATCTAGACTGCCCTAGAGTTTGCCAAAAGAGGCGAAATAAAGAGGTATTAACACCTTTGAAATATATATTGATCTTCTAATTAGGATCTTTATGCTGTTTTAAAATTAAATACTCAATCATTAAAAAAGCATTCTGGCTAATGTTAGAGGTAGGGTTTTGTAGCATCTTATTATATTATAAAGATCTCTTGAATAAATGTTAATATCAGAAAACTTGTTAATTAAATAATGTCTTTGTTGTCAAGCACTATATTTATATTTTTGTGTCATGAATTTAATTTCACTTAAAACATCCTGTGATTGTAATGATGGTGCAAATTCCTTATGATGGAGTATAAGATCATGATTATGTTTCTCATTAAGTTTATTAATATAAACTTTTCTTTCGGTTTTTCTGAAACCAGCATTGCATCACCAAGAATATTGAGATTTCTTTGAAGAGGTTTGTTAGGCCTAAATATGATCAGTAGTATATTTTGGTTTGGAATCTTCTAAAAATTCATATTCAAAGCACCAACGAATGACATTTCCACTTTTATTATCTATATCTCACCACACTTTTATTAGTCTAAACCCTTTTTTTTTCTATAAAGTTCAAGACTTGTTTCAAAAGAATCCCAAGAAGGAAAACTAGCACCTAAAGCAATTGTCCATACAATATTTCTTAGATCTTCAGAATTACTAGTACCTTCAGATTTAGTATCATCAGAGTTTAATATAGTACATAATTTATAATTGATAAAATCACTGTGGTTAATATAAGCTGGTAGAACAGATAAAGTTTTATTTGTTTATCAGTATCGTTTTGCTCTTTTAAAAAATAAAAGTAAGTATATGTTTTTTTGCTAATAATAGTCACTTATATAATACAGATAAAATCATATTTACTTAACTATCATCTTTTTTATTTGAAAATTGCTAAGCCATGTTTCTAGTAGTAGGAATGCTAAACCAAAGCTTCGATTATTTAATTATGTTTAGTTGTATTTATTGAATAAAGTAATCAATATTAGGTTTCCACTTGTCCGGATATGAAATTTTTATATATTAGTATTGGTGGTATTGATGTTGGTGGAAAAATGCTAAACTCAAGTCTCTTTTAGAAGATACTTTATATTGTAAATTTATTAAAAGGAATCTGCACAGATGATAATAGCGGTAGAGATACTAATTCAAAGACTTTTTAAAATACACCTTAGCTTTGTAACTTTGCTCACTAAAAAATATCTGTTTCAAGTTATATTTGTTAGATAAAGTTATTAATGTTGAATTGGTACTTGTTCAAGTTATTTGTAATATTTAAAGTAATCCGTCTAGATGATGATAGTAGGGATGCTAATCTAAAAACTTTTTAAAAAACACCTTGGCTTTGTAACTTCACTCACTAAAAAAATATCCATTTTATGTTGTGTTTGTTGAATAAAGTCATTAATATCAGATTGGTACTTGCTCAAGTTATTTGCAATTAGATAATGAATATAATAATTAAGAATATCTTTATTAAGAGAAGATTATTTAATTAGCAAATCACGAGTCATCTGAACAAATATTTTTTTTTTATATATAAATTTTACTATAAGCCCGAATATAGAGCATGCCTATCTAAAACTTTTTTTTACTAAGTAAATCATTCTTGAGCTTGTAACAAAAGTTGTAAATCTCATCAAGAAGCATCTAATAGTAGTAAAAATGTTAAAATCAGCTTGGTAGTTCTTGAGAAATAGAAGTTTTTTAAAGATTTCTCAAGAACTATCAAGCCGATTTTAACATTCTTACTACTATTAGATACTTCTTGATAAGCTTTACAACTTTTGTTAAAGCCCAAGAGTAATTTACTTAGTAAAAAAAAGTTTTAGATAGGCATGCTTCATATTCGGGCTTATAGTAAAATTTATATATAAAAAAAAAATATTTGTTTAGATGATTTGTGATTTGTCAATTAACTACTAATCATGTTTTGATTGGCCATTAGTAAACTATATATATACTACTGATATCATATAATCAATGATATCGCCACTGGCGATAAATACCAAAATTGTTTTTAAAAATAAAAATAAAATAACAATAATAATAAAACCCTTTTTATTAGATTCAAGTTAAATATTGCTATATTGCTATATTTCTCAGCAGTTAGTAGAATGTGATCAATTAATGAAAAGTGTATATTACTTGACATTAGGGTACAGGAAAAAAGCCTGATCGATTTCGGAATTTTTAAAGGCTGTAAAAATAGTGTTCCACAATTAATATCTAGGCCGAAATTACGTATACAATTAATATGATAAATATACTTTTAGCAAACGGGCTCCATTTGTATCTCTTACACGCCTGCTTCCTATAATAAATCTTCAAAGTTGAACGGGTCGGGCCCAACAGGTCGGGCCCAGGCCTGACCTATTCAACTTTGAAGACTTATTACTGAAAGCATGTGTGTAAGAGATACAAATAGAGCCCGTTTGCTAAAAGTGTATTTATCATACTAATTGCATATGTAATTTCGGGCTAGATATTAATTGTGGAACACTATTTTTACAGCCTTTAAAAATTCCGAAATCGATCAGGCTTTTTTTCCCACACTCTACTTGACATATTTCAACCTATGTGCCTTATTGTTTTCAAAAGTTTTCTAAATTACATTCAAGTGTATTATATTAACTTTAATAAATAAATTATATGGTTAAACAAATTTTAAATTGAATTAGCTTGATACTTTTAGCTTTTTTAAATATTAAAAGAAATCATAAATTTATTAAAAACAAAATAGAAACAAAGTATTAAACAAAACAAAATCAAACATATGAATCTGGTAATTTAGCAAAAATTCACATTCTTAGTATTGATAAATTAAAGATAGATCAAAGATCTCTACTGTGCAAGGTTCTTCAAAGGAAACCTAACTATAATTTTTACCAAGTTGCTTGCAAATTTGGGGTCCTTGGCAATTGGTACTCAGCAAATAAACTTAAACTACTGGATGTTCTTGATTATTTTGATTTCAATATTGTATTACTAAATATACTTTTGTTTAAGAAAAGTAGATATTAAACAAAACTTTATATACCTAACTCATAATAATATAAGATCAACTAATAATAATCACAAATATTCAATCTATAATTTTCAAGATGGCCAAGCTTATAGTATTAGTAAATACCCATCAAATACGTTTTTTAAATAAGTAATAAAAAATATAATAATAATAATATTATTATTAGTTATATAATTTTTGTAATATTAGTGATACAAATAATTAATATTAGTTCAAGTCATCTAACCAGAAACCTGTTGTTGCTAAAAAAGCAAATTGTAGTACAAAATTATATTTTTGCTAAAAAAAGAATTTATTATACTCAAAATTTAGCCAGCAATTAATATTAGATAAGTATTTAATCACTTTTTATTTCTTAAATTAATTAATTTTCCATTTAATGTATGAAATTTAGCTAGCAATTAATATTAAGAGAGTATTTAATAATTTATTTTTATTCGCTTTTTATTTTTTAAATTTATTTTATTTTAATTTATATTTTTAAATTATTTTTTTGCTTTTTTTTAATCAGTAAATGGATATTGATTCTTAAATGATCTACTTCATTTTACAATTTTAGAGTGATATATGCTAGTTCTGAATTGATCTA